CTAAGTCTTTCTTCTATATAATTTGTAAGAGGGTTTACATTTCACTGACATTTGGAAAAATTCTAGCTATTCTCTGGTTATTCTCTAGCTTTTTTGTCCCTAAGTGCTCAGAGCCCTGTAATGATCTTGTTATCATTCTGTGTCTAAGCTTTGTGGTAATTTTAGTCTTTCTCTCAGTGAAGTAAGACTCGCTTTAAAGCTAGTAACAGAACACTTGTAAAGGAAAAGCTGGAAAGCTTATTTTTTGTACAGTGCTTTTTTCTTACTACACAGAAAGACTGCATTTGGTTAACTGTAGTGCAGTTGGCACTTGAAGAGTTACTTTGGAATAGGAAAAAACCCAAAAAACCAACAAACAAAACCCCAAAAAAACCAATCCAAAAAACACCAAAGAAAAAAGGAAGCAGTTCTTCCTATAATAACAGGGTGCAAAGCCCGGAATGACTCTGCTGCAGGAGGTGTCTGAGTTCACTGTATGCAACAGGCAAGGGAACCCAAATGTATAAAGTACAAGCCAAACTTGGTGCTAGTGGTTCAAGTGTCACTTAAATTGTGGAGTGTGGCTTTGTCAGCAGAAAATGATGGAAGTAATGGACCACCTCGGGCAGACCTGCACAGAGCCCACGTAACGCAGGAGGAAAAGCAAAGACAATGACGGGAGCAGATGGGAAGAACCTCGACATTTTCTCGGTGCTGATAACTGACATTCCCTGGCCATCAGGTGTGGTGGAAGTCCAAATGCAGTCTTTCTGTGTAGTCAGAAAAAAAACACTGTACCAAGAATAAGCTTTCCAGCTTTTCCTTCACAGTTTATCCCTCAAACTGCGGTGGGCAGCTGTTTTTGAAGCTTATTTTTGGAGAAAGAGACACTTGTCTCCAAGTGACCAACCAACTGAACCATCCCCAAACTCGGCACCGCCGAGTTTGTGGGGGCAAGGGGCGAGCACGTGTGCGGGAGGAAGCAGACGTGGGGACAGAGGAACGAAGCCTCGGTGGGGACGGAGAGCTGAGGGCGCACCCACTGCCCCGCCTCTCCTGGCCCTTAGGCATCCATCGCGATCGCCGGCGAGCGGCGCGCGGGGCCTTGGCTGTGTAGGCTCTGAAGCGGCGCACGGAGGCAGGCGCGGCGGGCAGCCCTGCGTGGCCGTTGGGCGGCGGGGTCCTGATTTCGAACGGCGAGCGGCCCAATGAGAGGCGCGGGCGGGGCCGCGCGCTGGGTTTGAGCTGGGCGGTGAGCGTGGCTGCTATGGCGCCCGCCGGGGTCTGAGGGGCCGGGCTGGGGAGAGAGAGGGTGGGGGGGCGCAGGGATGGCGGAGCAGAGGCGGAGGCTGGTGCGGTTAGCGGTGCTGGAGGAGCTCCGGGCTTCGTACGGGATCAAAGTGAAGAGCGGAAGCTGCCTGGCGGCGGCCAAGGCGCCGGGAGCTGCAGCGGCGGAGGTGAGCGGGGCGGGGGAGCTCCGCGGGCTCCGCTTCCCGGGCCGGGCAGAGCAGAGCAGAGCCAAAGCTCCCACGGGTCCAGGGGCTGCTCCTGTCCCGGGAGCGCTCGTTCCGGCAGCAGTGCCGTTCCCGTAATGCAGCGGCTCCTGCCAGCCCCCAACAGGGCATCACCTCCTGTAATGGGAAAAGAGCTTTTTTTCCCCTTTCCTGCAGCGTGTTCCAGGTGGCCATTGTAGAGCCGTGTTATGATTCAGGAAGGCAGTGGCCCCCGCCCCCGGCAGTTTGGCAGGCCAGATGGCGAAGGAGATGTGTTCCTCTTTTGTCCGCGGGCTTGCTGGCCGCTGAAACACCCACGGTCGCCTCTGATCCGTGCGAGGGCTTTTTGTGCTTCACTGTGACTGATGTCACTCACCACGGAATTCAACTCTTAGTAATTGTATTATTTCTTGGAATATAGCTATCGTGTTGTTTCTAAAAGCTGTGTGTCTTCTACTTGATTTCTTAGATTTTTGGATTTTTTGAAGAGCTTTATTTGCATGGTTTCTTAGTATAAGGCATGACTAAGTAATTTGGCACAGACAGCTCTTGCCTTACTTTCCCAGTGGTCCAGGAATGAAATCTCTCCCATTACCTTAAATATCAGGTTTGAATTTGATGAAGGAAGGGTTTTCTGTCTCATGACTGTTATTTAAAACTGACATATTATAATGGATGCCAGCACTGAGTTCCATTAGAGAATATTGATCTTCTGGGAAACTCTTTAATTTATAAAATGTGGACCATGGTCAAGTCCTAAAAAAGATCACTGTGCAACTGGTATGGCACAGAGCTGAACATCCTCAGACTGAGCTTTCTGTAAGGCTGAGAAGACATTACACAATGCTGCAGTAATCCTTGGTCAATATAAACTAAAGAAGTTGGGAAGACTTGCTTGAGGTGGGTTGTTTGGAAAGGGAGAAAGCAAGAGTAAAGTTAGAATTAGTTTTCTTCCCCCTCCCCTGTCAGCATCAAACATGGTTATAGACTCTTCTTTCCTTTTCCATTTGAAGGGAAGGTAATAAGAACTGTGAGCAATATATGTATGTCTTGATAAAAGATGTCTTTGTTGCTGTCTGTAGTGCCTAAATTGTATGCAAGGAAGAAAATGTGTAGTTAACTACTGAGCAAGGTAGGAAAAGCTGCAGAATAACATTTGTTTTGCCAAGGGATGTCTTATTTCTCTTACAAGGGAACAGACATAATTTTATTAGCTTTATTATTTATTAAGAAGCAATTAAATCACAACTTCTGATACTTCAAACAACACCTAGTGAAGTGAGCATGTCAGTTAGGAATTCTAAATGCTGAATTCCAAACCACTGGAATTTTCTAGTATGTAATCTTGTACATGCAGAAAAAATGTTCTCTTGGAATTAATTTTCTTTTTGTAGCTTTGGTAGCAACCTGGAACACAATGACAGATGTGTTGCTTCTCTTTCCTGACTCTGTTATGTTTGTTTTCTGTAGGACAGATTAGATTGGGTCCAATGGGTTAGTTACTGATTAACTGTTTTCCTGACATGCACAGCAATTGAATTTCAGCTATGAATGACTAACAGTTTGCATTCAGCTCTAAGAACAAGTTGGGCATAATCCCAGTCCTCTTCTGGTTGGGAGAGGGACTGGCTTGCATGTTCTGTAAACATGGATATAAGCAAATAAAGTAGAAGTTCTAGGATGTAGAAGTTGTTGATGCTGTGGGTGAACATCAGCAGTAATGACTGATGAGATTTACTCATTTTCTAATATGTAACATACTCTAACGTCTTGCTATAAGGCAGTAGAGACCAGATTTTTAAGAACAAGTACTAAATATGAGGTATAGAACAGTTGTCTAGATTGTTCTGTTGAGTTGAATCCTTCCTAAAAAAGCAATCTTGAGTGTCTGAGATGAAGAAAAATTTATTAAAAAAAAAGTTATTTTAATTGTCTTGTGTTGATTTTTAAGGAAAATAAGATATAGTCAATTTGAAAAACTAAGGTGAGATTCCCAAGCAATCTGGTTAATATCCTTACTGATTTGTGAATCTTACAAAAAAACTAATTTATTGTAAAATAAGAAGTGTAAAACATACTGCAGAAAAGCTTTCTACTCTTTCACAATCATCTAGGGTGTTACCTGCCACTAGAATCAGTTTTAGATCTCTGGAGATGACAGTGCTTTTCCAGACAATACCTCTTGTCTGTCTTATCTGAAAGAGTTTGGTTTTTGTCTTAACTACCCTTATGTCTACTTGTGCAATGTGTGCTTCTTTGCAACATGTGGTTGATAATTATTTCAACTTTTGAATGACATTATTTGAATTTTGTATTTCAGGGTAAAATCTTTGGAATATCTTTTCATGCGTTGCCACAATCACTTGTGCCAGAATATGGTTATATTCCAAGGTAAAATAACAATGTATTTTTAGATTTTTGTGGTTATTTCGCTCTCTTTATGGTATTGAACCCTTGTCAGAAGAAGGAATGTAATATTTGTTCCATGCCTGCTAGAGCTTCTGGGGGTTATAAGAATAGTTCCACATGGAAAAGGAGGGATGCAGAAGTTAGACAGGGAATTCAGAGCTCTTACACAGTTGTATTTCTTTGTACTCTTGTCATTTGGGGAAATTATTCTATATACTAAGTTTAACAAAAAATGATGAAATAGTTTTTGTGGAAAGACCCCAGGCTTTATTCTGAGCATCAAAACTGTTACTGTTCTTTTCTCAGCTTTCTCGTTGATACATGTGAATATTTGGAAGAACATGTTCATACTGAGGGACTCTTCAGAAAGTCTGGATCTCTTGTTCGCTTAAAAGCTTTGAAGGTATTCTCTAAAGCTGCTCTTTTTTTCTTAATAAACTGCATTTTTCACTTGGGCATGTTCTAATTTTTGGACTCTTTTCAGTCATATTCAAGTTCTAATACTGGAAGTAGATTGGTAACATTGCCTGCTTTAGAAATGATAGGAGATCTAGTCCAGAAGCTGGCAGGCTTTGCCTTTTTTTGTCTTTTAAATATTTTGCCTTCCAGGTGATGAGAATAGTTTGGCACCGAACAAACTCATTAGAATTTGTGCACACTGGATGATATGAGGATATTTGTTTAGCAATGTTCTCCTGGTGGAGGGAAGATGGAATGCCTCTAAATTAATACATATGATCTGACAACCTTACCTGTGTCTCATCGTCCATAATGTAGTTGAGTAAAACATGGGAAAGCTGAAACTAACAGTGTGGAAGATATGTCTGTTGTGACAAGGGCTCTAGAGCATTACTGCTCAAATTTAGAAATCTGACAATATGCTGAAGACTTTAAATCATGTTTCTTATGGAAAATTTCAGAGCAAACTGGATCAAGGTGAAAACTGCCTCTCAGCTGCACTGCCATGTGATGTTGCAGGGCTTCTCAAACAGTTCTTCAGAGAGCTGCCAGAACCCATCCTTCCACCTCACCTGCAGGAAGGCCTATTCAAAGCTCAGCAGCTTGGAAATGAGAAGAAAACTGCAACCGTGTTGCTCTCCTGTTTGATGGCTGACAGAACAATTGCAGCTTTGAGATACTTTTTCAACTTTCTGAGAACTGTGTCCTTAAGGTCAGTGTAAAGGCTGTGCTTGTAAACATCTCTGAATTCCCTTAACTGCTTCTCTGTCCAGGCAAGTGCTGTAACCTTCTGTCAGTGGTTTGCCATTTTAAACTTTCATATGTGCAGATATTTACTTAATTCAGTCATAGTCTTTTATTTCATAAATCCAAGGTTTTCTTTATGAAAACTTAATTAACTGGAGACTTAACTTTATTCAAACTTTGTTCAGCAGAATTACCATAATTTGATACCTTGCATTCCCAAAAATTGAGAGGAATCTATAACTTCTTGATTTCAGTAACATAGTTGTTCAATTGTCTGGCTTGGAAGGCATATATCTATGCATTAATCTTGTTGTATAAGCACTCCAGTGAATGAGTCTATTTTTTTAACTGCATTTGTCTTATTTGGTCTTTTCTTTCTCCACTGTTTATATTATCTAATAATTTGAATTTAAAAAACGTTTTCTTGTTAAGATCCAATGAAAACAGAATGGATAGCAGTAATCTGGCAGTGATTTTTGCTCCCAACCTCTTGCACTCGAATGAAAATGAAAAGATGTCCACTAGTACAGAAAAAAAAATTCGCTTGCAAGCTGCTGTTGTGGAAACGCTTATTGACCATGCGGCGGAAATCGGTAAGATGATAAATGCTTCTCAACGTGTCTCAGTGCACCAACCTGTGTGCAGCTTTTCTTTTCAGCTTTTAAGAATCGTTAAAAAAAGTATTTCTTAACTATTCCAGGACAAGTACCAGAATTTATCTTGGAAAAGATTCCTTCAATGCTGGGTGTTGATGTCTTTCAATCTACTCCCTCACTGTGGGGGCACGAAGACAGTGAAAATGAATCTCCCAGTGAACGTAAGAGGAGGAGGCACCGAAGTGTTGGGGGTAGGTATGTTTTGTGAACCTTGCAAAGCAAAAACAGAATTTAGATTTCAGGTAGTCTGACCCTAAGCACTTGCTTCTTCCACAAGCAGAACAGATGTCTTCAAAACTGGTTGGGTTTGATTTGAAAAATGTACATAGGACTTCAGTAATCACATAATTGTGTATTTGCTCAGTTTTCTTCTGTTGTCCACTAAAGAAGCTATTTTGGATTGGTATAGCCAAATTAATATTTTGGCTTTTTGTTGAGTCAACTTCAGATCCTGTTGCAGAAGGCTATAGGGTTGGTTTGTTGTTGTTGCTAATTTTGAAATGGTACTTTAATGTAGACTTAGAGAAGTCTGGTCATGAGAAATTAGGGATGCAAATGGCAAATGTGTTTTGAATTAGAGTAGCTAATTTATGTTTTGAAGTGTAAATCTGAATTGGGTATTGTTGGATACTGTGTGCTCTGGTATCATGGATCTGGAATTTTGGGTGAGGATTTTTCAGCTTTCAACAGGGCTGAGTTGGGTTTTTTGCTAAATATGGGCAATCAAATGGTCCATTCTTAGTTCTGCACTCTCTTAGAGGAAATACTACAGAACATGTATGCTTGACTTCATTCAAATCCACTGGAAAGGGATCTTTTATGTATTGCTGTAAAAACATAAGTATTTATTTAGCTCATGTAACCTGACAGTAGTTGAAATTAAGACTGTATGACTGTATGTTACACCATGGCATGGTTTTTTTGTGTCTTGTACTTCTCTGCTCTGTTTGTTTGTTTGTTGGGTTTTTTGTTTGGTTCTTTTTAAATAATTTTTATTTTAAGGAAAATAGATTTTTCAGCTATTGTGAAAGCAATAAAAACTATGTTGGTGGGAAGATCTGGGTTATGATATTCTGTACATAAAACAACATTTAAACTGATTTACTTTCTCCCTAAAAAAAATACGAGTTAGGCATGAGTTGAAAATAGAGCAAGACAGGCTTCACATTTAAATTTGATTGCTCGGTGTGTCTTGCATTTCAGATATTGTTAGTGGAGCATTGAATAAATTTAAATCTAACAGAACCCCCTCCACTACACCTCAACAAGACAGCAGCGGTAGGTACTGGTGTATTTGTACTGAGTAAAGCCCATGCAGTATCTTCTGGATTTGTTAACTATATTCAATAATATTTTAACTAAAGAATTAGAACTTAGTTGAAGGCAAGTGATTAAATTTAAATTGTTTAAGATGGAATATAGTTACCTATTTATTGAGGATACTGCATTTACTACATTAATTCTTGGAGCAGCTACAATCACTGCAGTAGTGGGCTGTGTGGTTTAGCTCTGTGGGGATTACCCAACCAAAATTGTGCTTTTTAGCTAATAAACCACTACAGCCTCAGTGCAGTAGTGCAGCACTTTATCATCCCTGGAATGAATCTGCCAGGACTAAAATTCTTTCACACTTACTGTCTCTGAAGCTTTTGGCAGATGACTATACATTTACTTCTTCCTAATGCCTATACTGTTTTATTGATCTGTGGGTTTGGATTTTCCTGTCTGGTACCCTAAACTTGCAAAAAACCCAACAAAATAAAAAATCCAACCCTAAGCTATACTGATTGCTTTGCATGTTCAAAATGCATGCACTTTGGCTAAGCTTTTTTCAAAGTTAAAAAAACCCAAAATAACTATTTACTAAACTCTCCAACTTTTAAGCTATTACTGCAAATTTGATTTTCTTAATTTCAGTCCTTTCATCAGCGACTCCGGTGGTTCTTACTCCAAGTACCAAGAGGAAACTTCCAACTGATTGCTCTCAGGGCTTGTCCAGCAAGAAGAGACGCTCTTTTAAGCACAATTTTGCATTTGAGTTTTTACCAAGTAGCATATTTAACAGCAGCTCAACACCAGCATCAGGTACAGTGCTGTTACTTTTTCATTGCTGCTTGAAGTGACTGTTGGTGGCTCTTAACTTAAGAGTGGAGCTGTTTGTTCTTGTTAGTCATTGATGCTCATTGCTGAAGTATTCCTTGCACTACTTCCCCATCTTGGTAAATAGTGTATGTTTATGTTCATTGGTAAGTCATGTTACATGGACTGAGCGAAAGCCAAATTCTCTTGCTTGTGTTTTTGTTCTGTTAATCTCTCATACTTGCGATCCTGATGCCCTTTTACCTTTTTTACTCTCTATCATCACTCAGGATATACTTTTCTTTCTTGGTGCACAAATCCATGAAGACTGCCTATGCTTCCAACCTTTCGGAAGTTGTAGCCTTTTGTCTCCTAAATGCTTAAACAGCTGATCCTAGCTCTATGAGAAATGTAATTGTTGCTTTTATAAAGCTTCTTTATTGTGTCCTATCACCTCTTGTTTTTCCTCTAGATGCTACATCTCAAAACTCTAGAGAAAATTTTGCTTTTGTTTGACAATGCTTTAGTACTACTTTATTCTACTAGAGTGCTTTCAACAATCAGGCTATTCTGAGAATCCTGTTTTATTTTATTTCATTCTTTAAAGTTCTGCCAACTGAAGTTAGAGTGGAAGATATTTCTAGATTGGCTGTTTTGCTTGATTTCCCCCCCTCCAATGAGTGTTGTAAAGCTTAGTGCTTTTCTTATTAAATCATTTCATGTTCTCCATGTTTCTATGGATAAACAAACAAAAGCAATGACATTTTATAAGATAGCAGTGATGCAGGAGTTTCATAAAATGTCCGGTAGTAGAAAAAACCAATTCTTTTCTTCATTGTTGCTTCAGCTGTTCTGGCTAGGTGTGTTAAAAAAAAAAAAAAAAAGCACACCTCAAATAATAATGAGGCTAAGTCTAATTTTTCTTTGTGAGCTCTTAAATTTGAGGAATTGATCTGATGATAATAGTGTGGAAACTTATTTGAGGTAGTGATATCTGTAGCCTGCAATTAATTGCATTCCAGCCACTTTTATGGATGCTACAAGCAACAGCTTTGTTTAATTTTAAGGTGGAAATGCAAGTAATTTCAAGCCAGCACTCTACAAAATAAGCAAAAAAATTGTCCTGTTTAAAAACCTGTTCTTTATTGTGTTAACTTGTAAGTCTTTATCTGAAAAAAATGTGACTATTTTAAGTTCATATAAATACAATTTTGTCCCTGTAGTTCAGTTTGAAGCAAGTCCTTGTGTGTGTCTTGAGTCATCACAAACCTCACTGTCTCCTTCAAGCATGGGTGAAAATCATGTGTCCAGTACAGGGACTAGAAGAAGTAAAAGACTTGCAAGCAAAAAACTATACAGGTAATTAATTAACTCTCAAAACCTAAAGATAAATTGGAAAGGTGTGTCTATACCCCTTGAATAATGACCTCAATCTGTCTCTAAAAATACTGGTTTTGGTAAATTTTTATAGTAGTCTTATAACCACTAGATCTTCTGATGTTGTGAAATTGAGCTCAAAATAAAATAAGATCTGGTATTGTAGCTTTCTGTGCCTATTAAAGAAAGGTGGGCAAGAAGGCAATAAAATAAGTAAAACAGAAGGAAATAACTGTGAATAAATGTTAGGGTGTTTTCTTTTTCCTCCTAAAGAGTTTATGTCCCTTCTTCCCTTGTGTCCCTCCAGGGCTGAATCAGGAAAGACAGGTTGTTTTTCTCCAAAAATAAGCCGAAAAGAAATGGTTCGTAGGTCTTTACGCTTGAAATTTGGTTTGGGGAAAAGCAACAGAGAAGTGGTAAGTACCCAGTCGTCATTAGACTGTAGATTTTAATTCACAGTTTGGGGCATTGCTTTTCAGGAGCAGGAAGGATGTATTTAGTAATGGAGGGATCCCAGTGTTAATTGAACCTGCTTGCTCTCAAGTACAAGAAGCTTGAGGTTTATTTGCATAGCAGTAACAGATCGGCTTGTACTGTGTTTGACTGGCGCTTGTACTGTGTTTGACTGGGGCAAGACACTGAGGGAGGGAGCAGCTGCCCTGAATTGACCAAGGAGCAATCCTTGCCATGTAATATTAAGCTCGCCAGTAAAAATGGGATGGGGATAATTTGTGGAAAGTAGCCGCTGCTCAGAGGCTTACTGAGAACTGGCCTGACTGTTGTAAGTGATGACCTTTGCATCCTGTGTGGGTTTGGGTTTTTTTGTGTGTGGTGTTTGTGTGTCCCTTTTCATCTTTCCAATTCTCTCCCTCATCCTGTTGGGGAATGGGGAAAATGAGCATGTGGCTGGATGGGAGCTTGCCTGCTTGTTGGGATCAACCCACCACGCTTGTGATCAGAGTGTCTCAGAGTTCTGAGTGTCTGACCTGGCAGAGCTTGTGCTCATTCACTCTGTTCACAGTGTGATTGAGTCTGCCTGACTGCAGGGAGGCTGTTCCCCTCCAAGGTCTGCAGAGAGGAAGTATGGCCAAGAAAAGCCTGCTGTGGCTGATTTGTGTAGCACTTTCCTGAAGTTTCGTCTGTAAATGAGATTCCAAATTACAAGTTTCTATAAAGCAATTAACACTTTTTGTTTGTTCAAGAATATTGTATCAGGATGTGCAGCGGGCAATAGATCAGAAAATATTGGAAGGCGTCTTGCAAGTCAGCAAGGTTTGGAAAGCAGAACTGAATGTGCAAGAAGAGATGTACTCTTCAGCCCATATGTCAATGAAAAATTCCCTAAGAAAGGTGATTGCCTAACCAAATATATTAGATGGGGAAAACTATTTTTACTTTGCAAAAGCAACTTTATGGATAAAAGTATAAAAGCAGTTGGATTAAAAGTATGCTTCTAGCTAAGTCAAAAGTGACTTATATGTTAATGGCTGCTTGGGAAAAATAATTGATTTAGAACAAGCTTGTGTTTCTAATGTATTTTAGTAGCTCTCTTAATTAAACCAGAGGGGATGCACTATTTCATTTAATATAACCTTTTTTTACATTTCTGAAGTTTAAGGGCATAATAACATCTTTAAATTCAGTGCTGCTTTGCTAATTATTTTTCAGTAAGAATTTTGTCTATAGTTATTAAAATGACCCTAAATTATTCCTAAACACTGTGGTATTTATTTTAAGGTTCAAGGAATGTAAGCAAGTCAGAAGAAAACTTGCTAACTCCAAAATGTCACAATAAAGTAGTTCACCGAATGTCATGGAATAGTCCTGCTCTTACGGATTCTCAGGTGATCAGCAAGAATGAGCAAATTCTGCCTGGACACTCTGAAATGGGAGCCAGCTCTTCAGAATCTGTTTTGATATTTGGAAAGCCACCAGTCATTCCAGATGAATTCAAATCTGCAACTGTAAGCAAAGAAGACAACAACTTGGAACTTGTGCTGTGTGAAGATGAAAGTAATTCAACTACAGAAACATTACTGAAAGTTAAGCAAGCCTTCTCTGCATCTGGGAGTATTCTTCACAATTTGATAGGTGATAAGAAATCATCCCTCTCAGTTGTAGCAAGTGAAATATTAAATGAAACTCCATGTCCCTCAGGGCTCAGTTCTGCAAAAGAATTGTTAGTGGAAGAAATTTCTGAAAATCTAGCAAATGTAAAATCCAGAGAGCTGTTGCACCCATTTAATCCATCTTCTGCTGCTGATAAACAGCAATTAAAAAAAGAGGAAATTGACGTTTTGGAGAAAAAACACTTCAAAACTTCTATTGAGATTGAACTTCAGTTCCCAAAACCAGATAAAGTAAAAGAACTTCCTATGCCTCAAGTACTAGCCAAGGAAGATAAGTTTACTGTTGAGAACAGTTCAACAAAAGATGACTTACACAAATCAGATTTCCCTGGAAGAAAAGAGGAAATAGAATTAATACACTCAGAAACAGCTGAAAACTGTACAGTAAAGTGCTGTAATTTGGAAGAGGGTACTCCTAAACCTTCTTTGGCAGGACAGCTGCCTACTTCACAGTTGCCTAAATCTCAAAAAGAAATGAGTAACCAATACTTGAAAGCTGAAAATTCAGGTAAAGTTTTAACTAAAACATCAACTGTTTCTGACCATGGGAAGGTTTCTGACCACATACAGTGGTTCAACCAGCTTTCATTACATGATCCAAATTCTGCAAGCAAAACAAATCCGCCCCTGAAATTTCAACGTACTCCAGTTAGACAGTCTGTAAGAAGAATTAATTCCCTTTTGGAGGCTAACAGACAATCTGTAAGCTCTCACACGGTTAAATCAAGTGATGTTGGTTCACCACTTGTTAAATCTTTGAGCTATGATTCTGCCTTATTCCCCTGCACAGCAAAGCCCTCAAAGAATTCCATGCTTTTGCCACGCAGGAGTGAAAGCACACGTGACCAAGTTTCTGTAGCTTGTAAGCAGCTAGACTTAGCATCTAAATCATGTTACAGGCCATTAAATCCATCAGCCAAGCCTGATGTTTCTGTCAGAACTGTTGGAATCCATGAACAAAAAGCAACTGTTCATCCATCAAAGTCTGTTCTAGAAGATCTAACCAATCATGAAATGGTTAAATCCAGTTTGAAAGTTAATGCAAATATAAGTGTTCCAGGTGCTGTCCCAGAAAAATCTGTGATTGCAAGAAGTGCTTCAGGAAAAGAAAGAGTTCGTTACAGAGGCTCTCCAAAGAATCCAATATCTGAAGTAAAACTGCTACCAACTGCAAAGCCAGTAGACTTATAAGATCAAATATGATGGCTAAATGGGTTCTTTGAAACTTGGTTAACCTTTGGAAAAATCTAAATCTGTATGTTATTTTCCTAGTTCTTTTTATTTGTAATACTTCATCTGTTTTAAATGAATGAGTTGTGAAGATGTACAAATAGCAATTTGTTTCATGTTGAGGTTTTCTTCATTTACTGAAACTTCTGTAAATGCTAGTAAGTTCAACTAAATGAATTTGACTTCTAAAACAAAAATAATCTTTTAGTCTGTAAATAATCTAACACAAATGTTTGTGTTAGATCTCAGGTTTTGATTATCTCAGCATCTAAAAATATGCTGCATCTTCCAAAACTTCCTGCAGTATTTAGATTAAGTATCAAGTTCAAAAACAATTTCTCAAATATTTAAAACAAATTAAACAGACATATAAAAGGAAGTGTTTTGATGCTGAGTATTAGTAGTTAAATTTATGTACTTTTTTTAGTTTTAAGTGTATTGTAGCACCCCTTGATACTACTAAGTTGGACCTCATGTGAGCTCTATTTGTTTTGACACAATGTGGTTTTTTTGGGGTTTTTTTTTGGTTGGAGTAAATTGAGAGCGTATTTTACTTGTTTAGTAGGTAAATGTCAAAATGCAATCCATGCGTGCACACACACTGGAGAATTATTAGAACATGTGGAAAACAAATGTGCAGTTTATTCAAGAATTGAAAAGTCTTAAAACTTAATCCAGTGTTGTGTTCTGCAGTAGGTACCAAGTATTTTCAGTTATGAATAATAAAATGTTTTATCTTAATATGAGAGGGGAGTTTTAACTTATTTTTAGAGCTGTAGAATTATGTTAACTAAGTGGTGCAGAAGCCAAGTTTAGATGCTGAAAGTGTTGCAAGAGACGAATGTAAGAAGCCATAGTGTGTTAAAGGTTGATTTGCACGAGCAAATGTTTACATCTTTTGGAATGAAAACTGTTTGTCTGTCATCAGTTGTAAAATTATTTGAGTAAACACTTGAAACTGTTCATTAGCTTTTTATATGTGTGAATTGCTTATTGGCAAAATGTTAGAGCTGAAGCACTGGATACTTTTGGTTTTAATAAAACCATTGTTTTTTCCCTTCTCTGAGCTTGTTCTTCTATAATGACTTGGAAAGTTCAATTATGCTGTTATATGCAGACACCAAAATTAGTAAGTCTGTTAATACTGAAGTCAGAAGTAAATCTGTTCTGGCTGTCCTTTTTTGTTCATCTTAGCTACGTATTGGTAATTCTCACAACTAGCAAAAGACATGATGCAGCATAGCTTATCAGCAGTGGTTTTCTGAGCTTCTTAAAAGGATATGTTAGTCAAAATAGTCAAAAGAAAAGTTCTTTTCCCTGTCTCCTTCCCCATGTATCCACCAACCTGCAAGTTGAATTGGGTCAGCTCAATCTGTGGCAAACTCCTGCCTCACTCTTGCTACATTGCTGTTAAATCTAATACCAGGCAGCCAGCCATGCAAAGATCTTAACCAGATTGCTTGGTGGTGTGCTTAAGAGTGGGAAGCTTCAGTTTCATGAAGGAGTGAATAAGGCAGCTCACCACCATCCAAAGAGGAGGCTGCTTCTCTTGGCAACATGCCCCTCCCTACCCCGTGCCTTTAGCTGGTGCTGGCAGATCCCTCAATAGGCTGAGCAGGCACCGGAGCACCATGTTTTGAATCATCTCACTGAGGCAAGTAAGGATCAGCAAAACAACTTCCAGCTGTCATGGCAAGGAGGTAGGAGCTGGAAATAGGACAGAAGGAGTTAAAGGCAGTGTCAGGAAGAAAATGAGGTCTGCCTCCTGTAATAGTGAGGTGTCACACTGATTTTTGTTTAAAAGACTAAGACTTGCGATTGTCAAAGCTGCATTAGCATTCAAAATATTTGGTACATATTAATATTATCCTATGTGGTGCAGTAAGCTACTTTTGATCATCCATGCAAGTTAGTCTTGAAACATCTAAACTTGGCTTAGGGGGAATTTGGTAGGGCCCTGACAAAGAAAGCTGTAGCAGAAAAAAAAAATCTTAAAGTTTAAATTCTGGTTTTAGAAGTTTTGCAGAACAGTTTGGACATACAGCCCTTTATATAAAGTTGATTATGTTTTGCAGAAAGCAACTAGATGCCAACTGGAAGTCCCTACTGCCAAATCCTGCAAGTTACACCTTGCATAATGTACCAGAGACCAGCCAAAAAAAAAAAAAAAAAATCAGCACGTGCAAGTGTAGTCCATGGAATGTTGTGGTTTATGGGGTATAATTCAGAGTTTTTCTGTGGATAGCTATACTAAACTGGGATGTGATACATTCCCCTCAGTAACAGTGAAGGTGTGATACATAAAACAACCTTTAGAAGCTACCGTTTTGCCAAGCTGTGTTAGATGAGAGACTGCATTTAGTAAGATACTTTCGTAGTTATCTTCTTGGTAACCTCCGCTCTGGATGATGTGTCTACATTTGCTTAATCTGGAGCAATTTACCTCCAAGTCCTTGGAGATGGTTGCTGTGTTGCTGCCCTGTAAACCTGCAGTTAGGTAACACTATCACCTTGTAAGTAAACCACTGATCGTATTATTCTAGAGACAGAAATCACAGCAGGAAGATGGATACTCTCCCGGGAATATGCAGTATCTTATTTCTGTCACCATTAATGCATCAAAACCCTTCCGTTTCCTTTTTAGACTGTTAGGTTAAAAAGAGAGGTTTTTAATTCCCCTCCGAGCTTTGTGTCTCTGTGGGACAATGGAGCGCTCGGTGGCGGCGGCACCCGCGGGCAGCTCCCTCCCGGCCGTGGCTGCGCACGGAGGATGCGCGGCCGCGGAGCCGCCGCCCCCGCAGAGCCGCGCTGGGAGCGGGAGGTGAGCGGGGCGCTCCGGTCCTGCGGCTCCGAGCTGCTACCGAGCCGCCCGGGGGCCGGAGAGGGAGGGGAGCACGGCCCGGCTGTGCGGGGCGCGGCGGTGCGGGCGGTCAGCGGGGATGCTCTGTGGAAAGCGGATCTTCCCCCCGCAGCGGCCGAGGGAGCGGGAGGGCTGCGGGAGGAGCGTGGTGCGGCGGGGGAGCCGCGCACAGGCGTAGCGGGGAATATTCCCAGCTTTGGCGTTTTCAGCCATTTTTGCCTCAAAAACGTTCCCAGGTGCCTTGCGCCGGAGGCTGGAGCACGGAAGCATCTTTGAAACGTCTGGCGTGAAGAAATCAGGCAGCTGTGCGTGTGTTAAGGCATCAAAGGGGAACTCGGGGGGTTTGTTTATCCAGGGGACTGGAAGTGATGCATTTCACTTAGACTCTGATGCGACGGGGAAAGGAGCTTTAAGAAAACAAGCATTCTGATTAAAATTCAGCCTATCATAGGACCGTAAGCGGTACTTGCTTGTTGTGGGCTTTTTTTGTTGTTGGTTTTGTTTTTGGTGGTTTTTTTTCCTAATTAAACTACACTGTGCTGCCATTTAGTGAAAGAGATTCAAGGAAACAAACATATTTGCTTCAGCTGGGAAAGACGATGCATACGACATCGGAAGCCTTTTGTCTTAAGCTGCAAACAAAATACATCCAGGTTGTTCGGCTAATTATTGATTTTCCAGGCAATGAAAGAAGAGAGCCTGGAAAACACAATTCCTGGAATGAAGAGTTCTTGGCTTTTAGACCAGAGCTTTATAAATAGCATAGTAAACATGGAGGAGGTGGAGGGGTGGATGGTGGAGTGGATGATGTATTCTTGTGAAATGAAAAAGTGGATTCGTTTTGTTAGCAATGACTGTTAATTAATGTTATGGGAAAATGCAAATCAGCAAATTGATATTGCAGTTTGTTGCTTAATATTTCTTTTAGAAGAGAAGAACATATCTACCCTATTCCCTCCCTGGCTCCCCCCACCCAGTTTCCAGCTGGCTGGAGTGCCCTAGAACCCGAGGTAGTAAACTGTAAAGTCCAATAGTAGGATCAGGTGTTATTTCCACCACATGTATTGGACCTTTCCCCCCCTACTATAATTTATAATCGAACTCCTTTCTTTTTGACAGGATGAAAGTGGCTGCCTCTATGGTGTCTACCATGCTTTGCAACATGGTATTTCTGCTGGCATTTGGATTGGCTTCAGCTTTTAGCCACAGCCCCAGGACACCTGACAGGGTTACTGAAGCAGATATTCAGAGGCTCCTCCATGGGGTTATGGAGCAATTGGGCATTGCCAGACCCCGGGTAGAATATCCAGCACACCAGGCTACGAATCTTGTCGGTCCACAGAGCATTGAAGGTAGTTAATTTCTATTTGGAGTTCTGATTATTTTTTTAGTATGCTTTGGTAATAATTAATATTTTTATAGATACAGAAAGAATATCCTGAGCTTAAAGTCACAGATGTCTTCATCATGTTGTTGCTTGATCTTTGTTTTAAAATCACCATCCATCTTACACCTTCCTTAATGTAATGTTTTTGGTAGAAGTAGAGGGGTTTTTTAATGTACAGGCTTTGCAGAAAAAGTTATGTTGTCTTGGCATTGTCCTCAAAACAATTGGTTTGCTAAATTATTCCTGAATATTATGTATACATATATTACATATATTTTTGTCATGAAATAAATATTATCTGTGGAATCCAAATTCCATGGATTTTTAGAAACATTTGCAAACCAGAAGAGATCAAGTGTTAGTGGTGCCATGTGAGATAAAGGGATAAACATTACACTGGGGGTGCTCCTCTCCCTGTGTCCACTAGTAGCACCTCAAAACCATGTTGCAGGGATGAATGCTCTGGGCTCAGCTTTATTTTTTTTTTTTTGCCAGTACTCTGATCTCACACTGTGTAAGTTTTCCTTGGAATCAGTCTTTTATGGCTATGTAAATAATTGGAAATATCTGGCTCAAGTGTTAGGATGTTGGGATAATGTTTCAGTGGGTTGCTATTTTAACAGAACAAACCAGATTTTATTTTGGCATGACAGCAAGAGGTTGAAGGTATGAAACTCCAAATATTATTGTTTATGTGTGAATACCAGAACAGGCTAGAACCCCTCAACCTTCCTCTAAGAATTAAATCAGTCTGACAGTGCAGTAAGACTCCACAGTTCCTAAGTCTCTGTTCTCTATTTTATGCTCATTCTGATCTACAGGCTATCCTAACCAAACAGATACAATTGCTTTAATGAGGCTGAGGAGAGGATTAAAGCTGAATAGGCAGATAATTTCTACCAGATAATTGCAGACCTAAGTATATATATATATATTTTTTTTTTTTTTCTAAGAAACTTTGATGGACACACATTTTTCTGCAAACTTAAATAGCAGAGACTGAGTTTAAAGAGCATAATTTGGTCTGTACCTTCTCTCCTTTATGAATGTTCACACATAGAGAAATTGGGATGGGTGGTAGAAGTGAGTAATTTTAATTTCTATTTGCCTTTTTTCCCTAGACATCTTTTTAAAAAGAGAAACCTTAGAAAATATAAGCAAATCTGAATCTCTGGCAAATATTTAATCTCAGCTGTTTGATGTTACTTTCTAATTACAGTGGTAGCAAAATCAGATGATGCATCTCTTTGTATAAGTATCAAAAGTTTTCTAGTGTTTGTTAGATTGAAGTAATGCTGGTTTTCCAGTTGTCTGTACAGTCTTCCACAAACATCAGGTTGGACAAACGTTTTCTATTTCTCCTTTTTTTTTTTTAATAAAAAAATCCATCTGTGTATGTCATAGAGTAAAACTAAAAGACGATAAACCCAGTAGCTTTATCATATTTAACTTTCCCCTCTTGCTCAGATGAGGATGAGATGAGGATGACTCTTTTTTTTTTTTCAAGCCTACCATGGATACTTAAGCATTTATTAAAAAATTTCTGTAAAAGCGAAACTAAAAAAAGGACACTCTTCAGAAAATACATTTAGTAGCATATGCTCTCTTTTTGAACTGATCAGATAATTTTCCTGTTGACAGATTAAAAAAAAATACAGCTTTCTTGTTGATGGATTAAAAAAAATATTACAGCTTGTTAATTGAAAGAAATTTCTGCCTTTTCTTAAGTTGAAATCTATAAACACCTAGCTTTTTTTTTTTTTTTTTTTAAATCTACTCCTTAACTTTACATTTGTCAATTTACTGTTACTTTTGTTACTTCAGGTCAGGCTGCTATCATAGGAGTAGCGTCTAGAAAACGCCTGATAGGAAGTTGAGTGTAGTGGGAAGTTCCTGTGAGCTTCAGGGAGGTGCAGAGGCAGCGTGAGCTCTGTCCCTTTGCTCGGGCTCTGCTGGGGAGGTGGAACAGGACAGGTGTGTGCCAGCAGTGGGGCTTTGCTGCCTGCTCCCTGTGCTCCTGAACTGCAGCCAGCAGTGGCACAGGAGTGTGGCAGGAGCCAAACAGGTCCTGCACCATAAGAGTCAAGGGGAAATGGTTTTAGGACCTGGAAGTACTAAAGCTGTGTTTTGCTGGCCACTGAATAGATTTCTCTTTCTGTACATCCCCTGATTCCAAAAAGAAATAAACTCGTATAAACTAGTTCAATTTCTCTCATAATGTTCACTCTCCTTGTCAATTCATCTTAGCAGAAATTTATACTGGGGTCACTTAGCAGCATCTATAAAAAAGACTGGAAAACACAGAAAATCAAAATAGGAATTTTTAATGAGTAGAAGTGTTTCTGTACTTATTGCTCACTTATCACTAAAATAGTATGCAAGCCTTACTGGGCTATATTCAAGGTTTCTGCAGATAAGAAAGGGGTTGCATCTATGTTAAAAGAGAACAAAAGAATAAAAATAAAGAATTGCATACAACCTTTCAAAAAACACAGAAGTTAATTTTTCTGTCTGGTAGGGCATTTATGAAGTAAGAGACCACACTTTTTTTTTCTTTCCTTGCATGCTTACAATTTTGTGCCAATATTTAAGGTTTTGGGGTTTTGGGGTTTTTTTGTTTGCTTGTGGTTTTTTTTGTTATTGTTTGATTTTCAGTTGTTTTCCTTTTTTCTGAGGACTGGAAGGGAATAAGCATACAATGTAAATTTCAGGCCTATTACACCCTGCATAGGACAACAGTAAAAATCTCACTTAAACACATGGGGGCACCAGTAGCTCATCTTGAGCAGTTTATAGCACTTAACTTCATAATTGGAAATGGGAAGTCCCATTTTGCTTTTGCAAATATCATTGCCTACTATAAATTCAGTACAACAGAAAGCCTCTTGTGTGTTTTTTTTGTTTGTGTTTGATTTAGTTGTTTTTATTTCTTAAAACCACCCAAACAGAATGATTATTGGTAAAGGTGCTGGCATGACAGCCCAGAGTCTGAAGTCTTCAGTCTGCAGAAAAGGCATAATGCTGTCAACTTCAGTGGCTGCATTAAATGATGTCTCTTAAATTATGATTGCTTGCAGGTATAAAGAAGTTTTAAAAATACAATTCTCTCAGGGAGGCTTTTGATTCTCCTGCAGAGACTCCTCATAGCTATTGGAAACAGGCTGGGGTTTATTTGATTATTTTGAAAGGAAATTAGTATGTTTATTGTTTTAGGAAAATGTAATTACTGTTTGTCAGATTGAGATGATAAAATTCAAGAGACTCTGGAACATTATGCAAATATGTCTACTAACAACTGGTAATCAATGGCTTGTCAGCACAGCCCCTGTACAAATATCACTCTACAGCAAACCTACTGTCCATAAAATTATGCAGATTACTCATGCATGTTAATAGTGTCTATTCTGTTTGCATTTTACTAATAAGACAAGTAAAGGTTTTCTTGTTAGTAAATAAGAGTATTACTTTGCTGTCTGTCCTGTCCTGCAAGACAGGTACTTGTTTCCTACAAGAACAGTAAAATCTTTGTATTAGAAAGTTACAAAAACTCTTGCTGATGAATTCCCTCATGAAACCAGTGCACACCTGACCTTTGCACTCATTCACTTTCAGGTTAATGTGTGCTATGCTTATGCCCCAATATATTTGAACTTCCTTGGGTGACTACAAGTAATAATTGTACAATATCTGGGGCTCAGCAAACCCAGCAGTGTGATGGCTGCAGCTCTTTGCTGCAGTTTATGTGCTCTGTGCCAGAGCCTGTGCCAGCATCTGGAGGGAGCAGTGCTGGAATGAGGGGGCAGCTGCTCAGGGCTGAGTTGGGGCAGACCTTCCACAGCCAGAAAGGCTGATTTGTTTGTTGTTGTGGGTTTTGGTTTGTGTGTGGGTTTTGTTTTTGTTTTTTTTTTTTTTTTTTTAATCTAATTAGCCCAGAAAATAACATTTCAAAATTTCATATGGACATCTCAAATTTTTAAGATTAAATGGAAGTGGTAAATTTACAGGTTTTTACACAACAATATGTAAATATCTAGATTTGTATAGATTTGACTAAAAATACCTATTTTCTTTGCATTTTGTTCAAAACATTGTAGTGTTAAGTGTAACCAGAATTTGAGTATCAGGCAGTGATGCATGTCATAAGAGAGGTGCCTTAGAATGCTAATTTCTGAATTTAAAAGCTAATGATGGTGCCAAATGACAGCAGTGACTTGCAGTGAATTCTCTTTATCTGTATCTGAGTGATATGGCACAGGTCTGTGAAGAAACTGCACACAAAATGTTTATACCTCTAACTCCACAAACAGGAAAATTATGAGGTGGTGTGACTTTATTTGTGTTAAGGAAAAATCTTTGAAATTTGGCCCGTAATATCCTTGATTCCATATGAATTTCTAAGCCATGAGCAGCAGTGAATAGGAAAGCCAAGCTGGTGTTTGTGCTGCTGCCAGGAGGTCACACCAGGTCACCTCCATGTGTTTCCCAGCTTTCCCTCTTGAGGAGCAAGGGCAGGATCCAGCAAAGGCAGTGGGTGTTAGCACCATGAGCTCTGCCACGAGTGAACTTTGGGAGCTGCCCTTCCTCGATGCCCCAGAGCTGCAGGAGGGGTGCAGGGCTGCTCCTGTGTTCTCAGTGTGGCTGGGAACGTGCAGGGGAAATTCTCAAATCTAGTGTGCTTGTCAGAGAAGTCAGTCAATGGAGAACAAAAGAAGAAAAGAGTATTATTAATACCCATTTCTCTCTAGATCTGTTATTTGCAAGTGGATCTGACTGAGGAACCCATTTAGATTTGAGGCATTGAAACCTTCTCTTGAAACATCCTCCTCTTGTGATTGCAGGAGAGTGTGCAGGCATCACATTCCTCTGCTGAGGAACCAAGAAGATGAAGTGACTCCAACTCTTAAAACCTCCTACTAACCCCTGTTATGTGGTACAGACTACTGCTGCTAGTCATAAAGTTGTCTT